TCAATTAAAAACATTGCAGGGCATTACTGAATGACAAAAAAAGAACCAATAGGGTACTGCTGCAAATGCAAGATTTAGATAATCAACAGTAAAATAAACGGAGACAGGACCATTTCAAACTTGATCGAGTCTAACCAAGCTCACACCTGATTGACTCCTAGTAGATTAATCTAGACTCGAGCTCAGGGCATACCTAGCATCATTAGAGACATTGTATAGTGTGAAGTGTTTGGTCCCGATGACAAAAAATATTTCTTAACTGCAAAGAAGAAAAGCATATTTCCAAATTAGTAAAGTAACACTATTTGTTGTTTAACTTTTGAATTCATTGGGCAGAACACCGAAATAATCCTATTTCGTTGAACTTCTCACATTTCCTTAGGGAGAGAATACATCCTATTCCGCGATGTTGAACATTGCGGAATCAGTTCCCGGGCGAAACTGATTCCGTCCAATTCCGGGAGCTCGATTATGATTCTACAGAACAGACCCCATCGATATCGATCGAATTCCTTCCAATTCCGGAATTCCTTCCAATTCCGGGAATTCCTTCCGATTCCGGAATTCCTTGTGATTCCGGGAATTCCTTCCAATTCTGGAATTCCTTGTAATTCCGGAATTCCTTCCAATTCCCAATAATTCCCTCTCCACTCAATTCCCGGAATTCCGCAGCGGAATTACTTCTCGCCCTCACCCACACTCATGGTGCTGTGGCTGATGATTTATCCTTATGATTAGTTAGTAATTCCGGTACGGAATTCCGGGAATTGAGTCGAGACGGAATTGCTGGGAATTGGAAGGAATTCCTTCCAATTCCGGAATTCCTTGTGATTCCGCGAATTCCTTCCAATTCCCACTAATTCCGTCTCCACTCAATTCCCGGAATTCGTGGAACTCGATTGATATCGAATAGGTCTCTTTTGCTGAATGATGACGGAGTTTCCGGAAATGGGTGAAACTGATTCCGGAGACGGAACTGATTCCGCAATGTTCAACATCGCGGAATAGGATGACTTCTCCTTAGGGAAGGAAAATATCTGGGATTCTAATTGAAGTTGGCAGTACCTTGATAATTTATTTTTCTCAAACTCTATTGCAATCGATGATTACTCTTTACTTGTATTAAGGATAGACTGAACGACTACACAATACTTCGTAACCAACTAGCAGCACAAGACTTTATCTTTAAAGCATTGTGAAGAAAAAACAATGTAAGTGGTGTACCAATTGCTTTGCGAATGAGTTGAAATGTAATTTTTAGGGACCAGCCTGTTATGAGACAACCAGGAGGGATCAACTTTGTCAACACCTTCCCTCTGCTCAGCGACGACAGCGTTATTCAAATCTACGAATGTCGAGAAGGCTGCTCGGGTTGCTGTGGACCGAGAACAACCATTGCGTTAACCAACAATCGATTGATTACGCGACAACAGCAACCATCTTGTTTTTGCTGCACTGGCGCTCATGCTGATTCCACCATCTTTTTGCAGGATATTCAAGTGTTGCGTGAAGCATCGCAAAAAGTTGGGGGTTGTTTGGCACTACTGCTGGCCTGTATTTCATGCACATGGCCTTGCTTTCTGCTTAATCAATGTTGTGGCAGTTGCTGTGGTGACAAACCACAAATTCTCCAAGCAGCACTAGCATCGGGCAACGAGAATCTCACTTTCAACTTCATAAATCTGCCAGCAGCTGCTATTGAAATAACAAAAGCCATCCAAAATGCAAAGACCAACCGAAGTCATCATTAACAATACAAATAGTACATGGAATCAGAATTGAACAATTCTTCTCTTTCTAAAGAACATAAACATTCCGAAAAAAGAAATCAATTTTTAAAAAGAACTTTCGGAACCCTTCTCTTACTGTTTGCTTTGAATAAACATATGATATAAACTATGGTCTGATTTTGGCATATGATGTGTTATATAAGTTTCCACGAAACTCATTCATTCTTTAGACACTACATCGATTTCTGGAAACAGAATTTACTTTCCGGAACATGTACAGTTTCCTTAAAATGTTCCATGGACATAATGGACATAATGCTCGTAATGGATATGATCATGAAATGTCTTTTATGCCTTTCATGAAAAAATAATTAAACCTATCCGTCGGAAATACAGAAGATGTAAAAGATACTGGAAATATACGATATGTAGGAGCCATTGGATACGCAGGATCTGTTGGGTATATAGCAATCTGACGGAAGAGCGCCGAAATGATTCTGTTAAGGCCGAAAAGAAAAAAGTCTCTCATCTAGGTTCCATTCAATCGATTTTAAAGACTTCTTTTGCTTGAATAAATATCTACAACTGCCCATCCATTTCAGAATAAATCAAGCTCCTATCAGTTTTAATTTGTCGGAACTCGGGTCGAAACTGTCAACTACCTACTTTCCCACGTAGCCTATCGACTAAAGGCAACCTTCTTCCGCTAATGCAACAGTTTCCCAAGTCTGTTTGCTGCTAGAGATCCAAAGCTCGCGGTAAGCTTTCGGAAAACTTCTTTACTCTTAGGGTTCTAAGAACTCTTATGAATGAAAACAGCTTTTGATATTTAGCCTTGATTAACTTCCAACTTCCCCCAGAGTAGCGCTACAATTATTTCCTTTCAATTCAAATACAGTTTGCTTCTTAGTAATTCCTCTGGATGTCCAAGTGGACTATTATCCGTTTCAAAATATAAGAGCCATGACCATTTTTTCAATAACTTTTGATAGGAACAAGATAGAGTGGTGTGGTTTTCACCATTAGAAAGAGAAGACTTAGGAACATCAATCCATGCTAAAATATGATTGGTTGATAATGGACCAATCAGGTGCAATCTCGATGAAGATGTTTAGCATCCCTAGCTGGAGACATTTTTCGATTTAACCCTACTCTTGAATTTATATGTTGGTAGAAAAAATTGTTCTCTTTCAATCTACGAGAGGCTGATCTTTCTAGCTTGTTCCGTTCAAGAGTTATAAGCGTTTTCCTGAGACCCCTGATTTCAGCCAATTGACCTTGGATCAAGCAGAAAACCATCTAGGGTGGGGTAATTCATCATGCTGAATGGAATGGTGATATTTATTTTTGGATTCAAAACCATCTTCCACTGTGTTTTGGGAATATTCTCCATTTCACAATATCTACCGCCGTACCACA